GGCACAATAGCTGAAATGAAAAATTCATTAGATGGTTTTAACAGTAGATGTGAGCAGGCTGTAGAATCAGCAAACTCACAGATAGATCAAATGAGATTACAAAGTCCGAAGAGCAGAAAGAATACACGAATGAAGAATAGAGTCTAAGGGACACGTGGGATTCTGTCAAGCTTACCAACATACGTCTTATGAGAGTGTCAAAGGGAAATGAGGGAGAAAAGGGTAATGAAAAAACAAACTGATATATACATACAACAGATACTGAAAGGAGAAGGAAATACTTTATATGCCACAACTTGGATGAACCTTGAAAACATTAAGTTTTTACATTAACTAAGTAAAAGAAGCCAGACACAAAAGGGCACGTGATGTATGACTCCTTTCATATGTTATATCCAGATGAGGCCAATTCACGAAGACAGAAGACAGACCGGCAGTTACCAGAGGGGGAGAGAGGAACAGGGAAGAATTACTTACTGGGCACAAGGTGTTTTCTGAAGTGATTTTAAAAAGTTTTGAAACTAGAGGAAGGTGGTGGTTTGCATATTTTTAATAACTTAAATGCCACTGAATTGAACACTTTAAAATAGTTAATTGTAGGTTATATGAATTTCACCAATTTTTTTTTAAATGAGAAGGAACTGGCTTACTTTTCTTTTTCTTCTTGAGATAATGCTCTCCAAACAATTTTATTCAAGCGCCTGTTTAAAAAAAATTAATAATTTTATTTAGTAGCAATACTTCATTTCATGAAAAAAGGCTACTCCACGCAGGGAGAGCCCAAGCCAAGCCCCGCCCCCACCACTGGACCACACCCCTGTCACATGCTTAAAGAGATTGGATGTGACCGTCTCCCTCCCTCAGCATCACTGCAGAAGCCTCATGGCTTTGTGGCAACCATGCTAAATAGTAAAGGAGGGCGTAGCTCTCAGCTCGATCGGGTAAACCCAGGCTGAGAAAAGGTAATAAGCAAGCTGGGCCTCATTATCTCCACATGGAGGTATTTCTAAACACCCACCGTTTTTCTTCTTAAGGAAAAATATAAGTGTGCCCTTAGCCTGCCTTCTGTAGACATTCTTCTATCTGGTTGCTTAGAGCAAAAAAAAAGAAAAAAAATGTTACAGGGTCACAAATAAGAGGATTGGGACACACTTTAGAGATCACTCAGTGTGACCTCCTTGTTTTCCAAATGTGGCCACTGAGAGGGGCAGACAGATGAAGCGCCTTACTCATCCAACACAGTGAGCTGGCAGGACTGAGACTAGAGCTCGTCACTGAAGGGATCTGCAGAGAGACGCGGGCAATCCGAGAGGAAGGAAGGAAACTGGAGCTTTCTATCAGGTAGTGACAGCCTTTTCTTGATACTAATCAGCGGTGCTTTTCTGAGAGCTCCCAGTCCAGTTCTGTACCGCTACATCACTACCCAAATCAGGCTTCCTGGAGTACCAGGCACAGAAACTGGCTCCACGGGCTGTGAGCTGCTGTTCCAGGAGGGAAAAAAGCTTCAGTAAGATGAGGTGGGAGAATGCCGCCACTCCCCAGGAGGCACGCTTCCTGAACCTTCCTGGAGAATAACAGCACCGCTCTCCCAGAGCTGCGGTGCAGACTCAATGAGCAGGTGTGTGCACGGCACAGAGAACTGTGTCCGATGCAGGTAAATGCTCTGTGACAGAAAGTCAGGAAGCAGGAAATATGCCAGCTCTGCTTCTGTCTCACTTGAAGTTTTTGGTTCTTTGGGGCCTATTTGGAAATTGGGTTTCTTTTTTTTTTAAATCATGTAGTTGATGTAACAATGATCAGGGCATCTAACACTCGTGCGCATTTCTTAAAAAAAAACTACTTAAAAATCCTTTTAAATCTAAACTTTGAGAGTGGAGGCAGTACACTTGGGAGGCTGGGAGTGTAGACAAGGACTTGGGAGCTACAAGGGGTCTGGGTTCAAATCTCAATGTTGGGGAGGGATAAACTGGGAATTCAAGATTTAGCAGACATCTATCACTATATATAAAATAGATAGACAACAAGGTCCTACTCTATAGCACAGGGAACCATAGTCAATACCTTGTAATGGTCTATAATGAAAAAGAACATGAAAAGGAATATATATATGTGTATAAATGAATCACTATGCTGTACATCAGAAATTAACACAACATTGACTATATGTCAATAAAAAAGGAAGAATAATCATAAAATTTAGTACAACATAAATTAAATAATCTGCTATTAGAAAAAAAAAATCTGTCTCCACTTTGCTGCTGTGTGATCCTGTTACATAAGTTTTTGAAACTCTGTTTTCTTACCAAGAATGAAAGCCTCGAAGCCCCAGTGTGCAGCCCTGCACCAGGCCTTCACGGACCAGGTAATTAGAGCACTCAAACATTTGAGTGATTCAAGCAAATTCAATTATAATACGAATGCTATTATTATATTACATTTTGAATAACTGAATTTGAATAACTAAACTTGAATTAGATCAAATTCAAATTAAATTCCAATAGTCAAAGATACATATAGCGACCCCTGCTAGGAAGAAGAGAGCAGGGGAAAGCCGGCAGCGCAGCCCCTGCCCTGGGGGGCCGACATGCACACAGCTGGGCAGAAGCAAAATGACAGCAGACCAGTAAATGCTGGCCTGGGCCACGTTGTTAACTTTCGTCTATTTTATTTCATTTTTCCCAACTACACAGTAGTAAACGAAAACCCAACTGCACAGTTTCCAGAACCAAGAACAGGCTGGCCTGGAGGAGCCGGGTAGCTCAAGTTCAATGCAGCATGTGCACCAAGGATTAGTAAGTGCAGGGGGCTGCGCGGGGGGAGGGGAGGGGATTAGAGAGCTGGGCAAGGGGGACGCGGGGTTACCTGCCCTTGTGAAATGAGGCTCCTAGCTCAGCACTAACACAGAGACTATTTAAGAGTATAATCTTCACAGTAGTCAACTGGGTCCTTTTCTTGATTTTGATATAAAAATTATTTAAATAATAACATAGATTATCTCCATTATCTCATTATTGTGGCGTTTTATTAGTCACTGTACAGAATGTTAGATGCTAAAGTGGCCCAATTCATGCTGCTAAAAGGAAATCTGTAGAGTTCAC